CTTACAATTCTCCTTGCTCATTTTAAAATGTGTGCCACTTTTCCATTTTCTTTGGTGGAACATTAGCTTTCTCCTCCTCCTCTGCTTTCTCTTCTTCCTCCTCTTCTTTTCCCTTTCAAGACAAAGGAGTAAGTTCTCCTTTCTGAAGCTAAACCAGTAATTTTAAAGCTTTCTTCACCTGGAATGTTGTTAGTGAAAACCTCTGCTTGGGTTAAAGCCCCTTTTTTTTCCTTTTTACACTGTTGTCTCTCTTCTTTTGACCTGAGGTCAGATATTAAAGACTAAATTTCCTCATGAAATTTCTGAGCAAATTTTCATTTATTGATGTGCTTCTATAAAAAGTTTGGAAAGCACCCCTAAGGCCATTGACATTGCCAACGGATAACAAATTACATGACCTTGGGTTGGTCTAGCAAGTCAAGCTCATGGCGTCACCTGCTAAGCATGTACTAGACCCTGTATCTACATTAAATCTCTTGGTCTTCACAAAAACCTCACAAAGTAAGTTCCACCTTCAGTCTCATAGTTATAAATAAATAGGCTAAAGTGAGTGAGTCTTAGAGAAGTTCTTTAACTTGCTCCAAGTCTCAGAGGTGGTAGAACCAGGGCTTGAATCTACGAGCCACCTGGCCCCGAATCTTGACCCTTAATCTCTCTGGCCACAGTAGCTAATGTTGACCTGGTCCTTACACTAGGCCACATAGTATGTTAAGCTCTCAACCTGCAATATCTCATCGGATATTTACAACAATTTGTTTGCAAATACTATTAGTGGTGCCATCATTTTACAGATGACAAAATAGGAGATTAGAAAAGTTAAGTAATATTTTTTTAAGGCAAAAGAAAAAGCACACTTTTCTGGCATAAAATAACAAAACTGGTCCTCTAAGTTGCCTCGTTTCATCTACACTTTGGCATGCAGGCTGGCCTGGCTAAAGAATATAATGTGAGTGAATGTGAGACTTTTGCTCACCTGCAAGAGTAAAAGAAAAATATTTGAGCTGCCAGGGTGAAAGCCATCGTGCCAATAAACATCAAAACAGCCTTTAATCCTTTGATCAGTGAATTCTATACCTAAATAAAATGATTATTGCTTTCATAAAATGCCTCTGTTTGCTACTGACAGAAAGCAAACTGAGCTAGTATGTCCTGCAATAGCCTTTAAATAACCAAGGAGAGAGATCAAAATAAAAATAAATCTTGACCAGATTTATAGGTGCACCTTGATTAGTTCTTGTTATTTTCCTTCAAATAAGCAATACCTGAAAAAACTGAAAAGGGAATGTTGAGACCAGATATCATGTAATAGATGGGCTTTCTCTGACATACAGTATGGTATAATGACAGAAAAAAATAATGCTGGCCCATCATTTGTGACACTTACCAGCTAAGTAGAGGAAAGAGAAAGACAAAGAGGATTTTTCAGGATGCTGAATGGTGCCACCACTTGGATTTCAACAAATTATCATTTGTTTTACTGTACTTCTCAAAGTTTTGTTGTATTGCAGCATTTTGTTGTTTTCTCTAAGACAACACATTTTCCTTTTCTTCAACGGGTACAATTTTTTTGAAAAATTCTAACATTAAAATCAAATGTAGTGTATTCAAATATAATTCCATTGCTTGCTAATGAGAAAGCATATCTTATAAGAATTTTAATTACGTACAATGTGATGAAACTGGAGTTGTTTACCTACTAAGCCATCACTTTCTCCTTCACACTCCCACCAACGCTCAGCTATCTTCTCAAAGTGAGATGCCATAATTAATAGAAATGCCAGTCAATAGAGCTAAGGATTATTATTTTAAAAACAGTATAATTCTCATTTTTCTATAAACTACCCTTTTAATGAAAACCTCATTTCTTTCAGGTCACACTTTATCTACAATGGATTTGGCTAGTTGAATAAAAATACCTGTTAAAGGCGAGAAAGTTCCCATCAAAGCTGTTGAAATCTGATTTCATTTCAGATTCTAGAACTAATGTTGTTTTTTGTTTAAATAGATTTTGTCTGTCAATTTCCAGACCTGCTGTGCCATCAGCCTGTATGGACTGCTGTGGTCAACACGGGGGTTGTAGCAGCAAATTTTATTATGGACTGGTAATTGAATTGAACAGGTTTACATTTGAATAGATTTACTACATCATGATCTCTGACATACTGCATGGGACTGAAATCCCTCTCCATCCATAAAGATACATTTAACACAGTATCATTCTCTCCAGGCTTAGAAAGCAAGTCTTGAACCAAGGAGATGGCCAAACATAATTGTGCATTTATATGCAGGGTACCATGCAATATTTCACTGCATTTTTTAAGTACAGAAGAAAAACAATATTCCATATTTACTCATAACCATCCCATCCTTTTGATTTGGTGGTTGTGGGAGGTGGGGGGAGGTGTTAAAGAACTGATATTTTGCCATCGAAGTGGGCATTAAGAAGTAAAGGAAAATAAATTATTATTTGAGTATATCAGCAACAGCAGCAATTCCCTAGAAAACAGATACTTGCTTGATAACAGCAATTGAAGAGGTGTGAATTATAGATAAGCACTGTCCCATTCACTTTCATCAACAATGTTTAATTAAACACAGTTCACACCTCTCCATTCACTCTTACTGCCCTTCAGGCTTGTTCCTGCTAGAAGTCACAATGGAAGAAAATATTTAAGGAAAAATATCTTCTTTAAACCTGGAAAAACAAATGGTGTGTAAATTATAGCAGTAAATCAAGCTAATAAAAAATTACATATTCCTAGAATTCGAGAAGTGTCTCCATGTAATTCAGTATTTCAAAATAAAACCTAAATCTAGATCAAAACCACATCAATACAAACTGTTCATTCTTGTATTAATTTTAGAACTTCTTAAAAATGGATTTGCTTTTGAAAAATAATCATTCCTCAACTTTCAAGGATTTGAAATCACTCTTAATTAAGTCTTTTTGATTGAGCATAAGTTTAGTTTGAGTCTCTACAACGAAACTAAGTGGCAACATAAATATAATTAAGGCCAGAAATTGACTGTCAATCACTGATCACTAACTTTCAGAAATATGTTTTGTTTGTTACTCTGCTATAGGGGTTAAAGCAATGGTTAAGATAAAGGACTCCACTTCACAAACGTAAGCTACCGCCATCATCCTAACTGAAAGAAAAACTCTGTCATGTGGGTTGGGTGGTGGTTGTTTTAATTATATGTTTTCCTTTATCAAAATTGTCCTTCTGGCAACTTCACGTAAGTTTTCTCTAGCAAGAACCACCTAATCTGTCTTTTCCACTGTCATATCACTGGAGCCTGGAATAGTGCCTGGAATATGGGAAGACCTTAGTACATATTCAGCAAATGGATTACAAACATAAAACATGTTAACTCTGAAAAATCCTAAAAGGGTCAAAGGCTATACCGTAAAAAGTACCCCCATCCTCAATTTCATTCACCAATGTGACACTGTTACCAATCTTTAGGTATCCTTCCTTCCTTCTACTTCTCCATGTATACACATGTGTATATCCATCACAGTGTGTACAATGTCTGCCAGCCATTCTCCTTTCCATCTCTCTTTATATACATATATATATATATGTATACACACACACATTCCCATACATACACACACACACATATATAATGAATCATACTATTAAAACACTTGTTCTTATATATTATTTACTTAGTAATGTATCTTGGTCATCTTTTTGTAAAACTTTATCATAACATTATACACTTCTTTGTTTATAGCTCTTTCTCAAGGGAAGAGCAAAGTTGAAGACTAGAAGAATTTAAGAGGGTCTTCTTTGTTCCTATTTGATAAGTAAAAGTCAGAGAAATACGATGTGAATTCCATATATCCAAACATAATCTGATCCACTCATCTTCCTATAATATTGTTCACAGTAAAAATCTTGAAAGAAGAACAAATCAGGAAAAATTATGACACCATGTGACGGCACTCACTCATTTACACTCTGATTCACTGTTGGTGAATTAATATGTGAGCCTATTTGGATTTAAAAGTTAAAAAATAGGGGATCTCACCGCCAGTAGTCGTGGCCGAGTGGTTAAGGCGATGGACTAGAAAAATAGGGGATCTCCAGTAAGAACAAAATATAATAATAGGACAAGCCCCAGAAACAAAGCATAGTTCTGTGATGCAACAGAAGTTATACATTTAAATATTTAATGAATCTAATTTTCTGTTCAAACATTAATTACCAACATTTCATTGTGTTACTTTATAAAACTGTGTTCATTTCAAACCTGGTGAATTTTCTGAAGAAAAGGAAACAGAAAATTCTAAATGCAGCATGTAAAAATGCACATTTACAAACACACACACAAGTACAGCAATGTGTGGAATAGTTGAGCGGCATCTAGAATCAATGGGCTCAGTTCCTGGCTCCACCAATTATAAACTGTGAGAGCTTAAGCAATTTGTTTAGCACAGAATACATGTCACTGTTACTATTTTATGTTTGTTGTTGTTATCCCCAACTGAAAGCAAATAGAAAGCAATTTTAATATCATATTTCAAGCCATTTGTAATAGAAAATAAACTCTAAAAGATAAGGTTGGGAAAGAATAAAGAGTGCTTTAAATCCAAGATTAATTAAAAACAAACAAACAAACAAACAAAAAAACACTCTCTGCAAACCCAGTAATGAGAAGAAAACCAAAAATTCAATGGCAGTAGCCTCTTGGTTTGTCTTTATCCTTTGCTTTCTGCAAATTGTAAAGAAGAAAAAAGCACTACGGTCAAGCATACCTGGTGTGTTTGGCTGTACATCTGCTTCTCCTACCTTGTCCCGTCCTGTCAATGTCAAGTGGTTAGCCATAAGTTATCAGAAAGTCCAGGTATAAAGGAGTATTCTGCCATCAGAGTCAGAGTACTTACTGTTACCTCATCTTTTTCTGGTTTCTCTAAAATTGGTGGAATTTTTTGCCTCCCATCCCCACACCAAAATCAAAAGCTCAGGGGCACTAGAAAAGAGCCTTACCTTCTTTCAGCATGCCCACTTTTAAACACTTCATGAAGCGGCAAGCCTGGCAGGATTTACGTCTGCGCTTTGTGATTTCACATTCATTCGTGGCAGGGCAGCTGTATTCTATATTGCCTACAACACAAGTTTGAAGAAAAGTTGTCAGATTTGCAAGATCCAGAAAACATTAGCATCCCAAAGGCAATGTCAACTCTATTATTCTTACTCCCCCACCCCGAAAAATGTCACATGAGACTCAACAGAAATGTCACAAATACCAAGCTAGATGTTCTGCTATAATCACAAAAGATACGTGGGGCAAGGAGAACACACATGGCAAAATGCTTCAATAGATGAACTTTAAAATTAGCCTTCAAAACATTATGCTGAGTCCACCCATGCAAAGGAAGAGTCTTCCAGAATCTTGTGATCCAAAAGAAATTTCAAAATAGAGTATGTTCATGAAAACACAAATATCAAAACCAGATTTTTGGATTGCCAATCCTGGATTTATTCTGTTTCCTAATACTTTGGTGCATCAGGCTTCTTGTCTTTCTGACATTGAACAATATAAACTTCACTGTGGAAAATGGTATGTAAACAAATCTGGGATGTTATAGTAAGCTCCTAGAGGGTAGGGACAGAAATTACATAGTTGTTGCTTTAGCACTTACCAGAGCCTTACAACACAATTCTGTGCTTGGTAAATGCTTCCTGATGATGGCGATGATAATGAAGATGATGGTCATCATCATTATCATCATCATCATCATCATCATCATGATATGTGTTACATAATTTGCATAATTAATTCCAAACACTGAAGTTCCCTGATGTTAGACCAAAGAATAAATTGCTACGAAATTATATATTTTTAATATTAGACTTTGTATCACTTATGGTAGTACCTACATATTTAAAATGGTAACTAAGAAACCAGAAGAAGATCCAAACTAAATTATTTTTTTCAATTAGTACCAATGGCATTTGCTCTGGGGCTGCCTACAGCTTTGTAAAGAAGCTGCCTTTAAAATAAAGCTTTTCTCCCCTATCAGCTCTGTCACATAGTGCTTGAAGGTCTTTCGTTACTTCCTAACCCTTTCCCCTTGTGATTAAGTGCATTAGTATCTTAATGAAAATGCATTCTGTTTATTGCCCTCTTGGGAAGGGGGAGGTCATCACACCAAATGCATAAATTGTCATCAGCGACGGTCCGAGCATAATTGCAATTTTGCTGCTCCATGTTTGCAATACTCAGGGTCCATCCAAGTCCCCTGAAACATGCGCAGATTCTAGTAATTAGCATAGAGTCTGCCTGGGACCACAGCATTGATGAAATATTTCAGAGTTAATCACACTTTGTAAACACTGATTTATATTGACTACCTTTCTTCAGACTGATGTCTCCTCATTAAATATCACATTAGTGGATTGCAGGGTAGTACAAAGACTCAACTACTCAGCAACTGCTAATTCAACAGGAGGTAATACCTAACCACTTATAACTACTGAAAACTGGTTAAGTATGCATGACTTGAAAGAAACACATTATAATTTCAGATAGCCTATCAAAATTGCCTAAATTAGCATTCTAATTCAGGGCATTTATAATAATAAAAGCAACTACTTTTTAACAGGAGGTTAAATAATAAGAGTAATATTAATTGCATCAACAGAAGTATATACCATCACCTTCCTTGGAGATATTACTGATGCTATACTCTTAGAAAACCAAGGATAAGTCAAAGAAACCAGAGTGGCTGGGTCACAGTTAAGAATAAAAGTATTTATAATCTGAACTTTAGATGAAACATTCTTCACTGCAGAGTTTCTTTAACCATTTCTGAATATTTATTTTGCATCAAAAGAGTTTTGCTAGTAATTTTCTAAGGGTTAATTAGTATTCGACTACTAGATCCTTCCAACCTGTACGGCTCCCCCTATATTTACTTAAAAAGAAACAGGTCTTTGTTGTCTTAGGAAGGACTGAACAGTGACTGGTTAAAAGGAACAGAAAGAAAGAGAAAAAAAAAGTTTGCCAAACAGCATTCTTTTCCTTTTTTCTGCCTGAAAAGTCAGTATGAAGTAACACTTTCATCACTTCCCTTATCAAGGTATGAGTGCTAGTCCTACCCACCTTTAACCCAGTGCTAAAAACTTCTACCAGGATGATCCACTGCCACAAACATAATCATCATTCTTTTCAAACCTGTTCCACTTCCTCTTTGAAAACTGTATCCCCATCCTTCGTATCAACAAACTTCTGACAAGAATGCACATCAGGCATGTGTGAGCTCACACCTGGACTATGGCAGTTATCCCCTCCCTGGGCTTTTTGCCTCCGTCCTGACCCACTCTAATCCACGCGGCATACCGCTGTCATCTTCCTCTCCCCAGGACTGCTTTGATCATGTCATTACGCTGATTTCAAAAAATCAATAGAATTATTTGCCTTTCTGGATGAACTATAAACCGTGAGGCTTACAAACAGGGTCTTCTCCCAGCCTTTCATTTACTTTTCCAGCAATATTGCAATTGTTACCTGACATGAACTTTTTGAGGCAGCCAATTTGATTTATTCATTTTTTGCTAAGTGTCCTTCAAACTTTCCTCTGAGAATTATCTATCTTTGCCACTTTTTCTACTTAAAATATTTCCAAGGCTCCTTGTTCAAGCCCAACTCCATTCCAATCTTTCAAGAAAACTTCTCTGACTATCCCAGAATATGGTTTCTTGGTTTTCATATCTTTTCAGGTACTCTCATCATATCCAGACAGACCATATTTTGTTATACCTTTCACACACATATTACCCATTGGATGGTAAGACACTAGAGGACAATGGACATTTTTTATGCAGTATAAAAACCATCCAAGCTGGGCACAGTGGCTCACGCCTGTAATTCCAACACTTTGGGAGGCCAGGTGTCGTGGTGCATGCCTGTAATCCCAGCTACGTGGGAGGCTGAGGCAGGCGAATCGCTTGAACCCAGGAGATGGAGGTTGCAGTGAGCCATTGCACTCCAGCCTGGGCAACAAGAGCGAAACTCTGTCTCAAAAAAAAAAAAAAAAGTTTTGTTTATTTTTCAAAATTGTGAACAGTAGCTTTGACAAAAATGGAAAAAAGTATAGCAAAAGGGGAAAGATTATGCCAAAAAAAATTACAAAAGCTTCTGAGGAGTGAAGTGTGAATAAAAGAGGAAATCATAAAGGAAATTATATTATATGGGAAATAAAAATCCATACTGATATGAATAGAATAAAAATAAAAGAAAAATAAAATAATACAGATAGATGGTGCTAAATGAGTTATATAATTTTTATCTTACTATATAATTCTAATTGGTATTGACAAAATGAGTGCTCTCAGAATTGGAGCTACATTGGAGAAAATATTTAGGATTGATTCAATAATAGTAGCTAAATCTATGAATGACTCATCTAGGAATAATTATGTAAAGATTTTAAATCTCTTCAAAAGGCAGAAGGGAATCTGTCAAATAACGATATGAGAGTTTTAGATCACATTTAAAGGACTCTGGTCTCCTTTTTATCCATTACATTCTATAATTCTTCAATGATAATAAGAAATGTAAAAGCAGGGGAGGTTTTCCTAGTGTGTTAGACTGAAGTGTTGAAGTAGGACCTCTGCGTTATTTCTTGTTGAATCCTCAGTGCTAATCGATGAGCTAGGAGTTTTGTATTACGGCTGGTTTGGGATAGAGAGAGGTGGTTCCTGATATTAAGGAGTCCACCAAGAGGAGACAAGATGTATAAACAAACAATGCAGTTTAGTGGATGGTGTCATGGTTCAGGATGCAGTACTGGCATACTGGTAAGTACATACATTCCCACAAACACAGGGATTATGCTTGGGAAGATCAGCAAATTCTTCACTAGGAGCAAATGCTTGAACTATGCCATGAAGAGTAAAGAAATGACTACGTTGGGGTGAAGGAGGTAAAGGACTCTTCCCAGAGCGACAGCAAATACAACATATGTGTAAAAATTTCACCATGAATGAATGGAAGACATAGTGGTCCTAGTGTCTTCACAAACGATATATTTTCAGCTGAAGTGTATAGAAATTGTTTCTGATTAACTGGGTCCCTTTCACAAATATTTTTTTCAATACAGTTGCCTTGACACATATGGATAACCTTGATTTCACTAAGTGACTCTGGTTTATATCTTGAAAAACAAGTCAACATCATTGTAAATAACTTATTTGCTGGAGGAAAACCTCTCTAATTTCCAAGCCCTCCCATTGAGTTACTCAGTTCATTGTTGTTGGCTATGATCACCCACCCAACAAAATCTTTGATCCATGTTAGAGTCTACAGAAATTGTGCCCTTGAAAAACCTTCCCTGGTGCTTTTTCTATTCAATAAAGAAAGGATTTTATCCTAAAAATGTGCTGCCCCAAGCACCTGGGTAACAATGTTACATCTATTTTGGTAATGGTTCAAAGACATTACTCCCAGTAAACCATATGATCTCTACGGGGCACTTGTTTTCCTTCCATTCTCTAAAGGTGGAAACTAGACAAAAATATTTCCAGTAGCAACTATGGGCACCTGGAATGTGAACACTGGATATTCACTCAGAAGGATGCAGAAGTTATTGTTCACAGCATAGGATTTTCATTTCAGACACGGAGTTTTCTTGGATTATAGCTTGCTATTTTCTGGGACACATTTGTTAGATGGCACCAGGGACTGAATTGGGCAGCTACTGATGACACGACTGGAATTTTCCCAGTTTTGTCAATAGCTAGGGAAGTGTGCTCTGCTTCAGAGGGAACCAAATCAACATGGAAGCTCTGGATTTTTAAACCAGGCTGACAAGAATGATAGAGCAATTTATAATATCTCCTGGCGGCTTTTCAGAAAGTCCTGGGCTCTGATTACTTATTTCAGAGTCTTTTGTACAATTAGTTTGCAGGCAATATAATTTTCTCACTTACTGCTTAATAGAATCTTGCAGCTAGCTGGCGGAGAGAATAACAGGGTGTATGTAAAACTCCAGCCTGGAGTGCCAGTGGATAATTTGTATATTCCTTTCAGTCACTTAATGGACTTTTACAGTTTGGCAGTGAAAGGGCTGAATGATGTAAATTAGCATGGCATCTCAAAA